TACTTCCAAAAAAGACATACAAAACATAACCAGCTCCTATGGCTTAAAGTAAATTGAATTCTTACTGACTAATAAAATTAGCATTTAAACATTACACTGAAATAACTGCATATTCACATGTGATTAATGAATCATATAGCTTATTACCTGCACAGGAAGTTTTTTAACTGTATCTGGAACAATCTCTTTGAGACCAAGTGTGGCAGTTGAATAGTTCTGCTGTCCAGAAATGAATACATCCTCCTCTACTGGATTGGATGTTTGGGGGTGCTAAAAATAATACATAAAAGCATATAAACATTTATGCTATATACCAAAGCAAGTTATACTAAAGCTACTGATATTTAATCCAAACCCTAAAATGGAAATATTAATTCCACTTTCTGAAAAATAACAACACTTAAAAAATAGGAAACTATTCATAAATATGGTTCTATTTAAGAATTTGCAAACTTAAACACAAGAGCATTTTATAAATATTTTTCTATTAGATTTAGCCTTTTTTCTGAGTTCATGCTGTTCACCAGTTTGTTCCTGTGTTTTGCCTTACAAATTGTGTCAACCATTTAGTCTGTATGAATAACTCTTAATAGCATCTTTGCTATATATTTTTTCCTGGGAACTGTAATACAACATGGTCTTGGACAACTGTACAGATAACAACTACTATTATTGAACATGCTGTTCAATCACTGCTGCTCTTGGTATTTCAGTCTAAAATAAAAGGAAAATCCTTGAACTGTGGAATGTACCACCTCTATTTTATACAGGGAAGCAATGTAGGAAATAAAGAAAATTAAAGACAAAAACAATACAGGAAGAATATGGTTCTATTAAATTGTAGAAGTTCATAGTTAGTTTCCCCATTGGAATTAGACAGTAAAAAAACAAAGGATGACAAACCAAAGAGACTATAGAAATAGACATGATGCAAGTTTAAACATTTGCAGAGAACCATAATATGCTGTAAAAACTATTCTAGTGCCAAAGATGGAAGAAAGGTATGGTATGCCAATAGAAAGGAGATGTCTGCCTAGTCAGTGTGATGGAGGACCAGAGTGCGAGCTGGATTTTTTTACCCAAAAGACCGTATTTTTTAAGTGCTGTACACGGAGAAGCAATCCAGACTTGGAAATACACTATATATGGGAGGAAGGAAGCATGCAAGATAGTCACATTCATATCTGATCAATAAAATGACTGAATTTATCTCATCAGACAAACACACGAGAAGAAAGTAAGTTCAACCTTAAACATACTGGAGTACATCCAATATTACAAGAAAACTTCTGTTCATGTAACAGAACTTCCTTGTGCTACCCTATATGGGCTCCAGATCTGTTCCGGGGTGTCCTCAACCATCAAGAGCAGATTTAGGAGAATCATAGAAAGATGTGGTATAGATGAGAATACAGTCCATTAAATGAATTATTAATCAAGAAAAATGATAGACAAATCTTTCTTACAAATACTTTAATCTGTGAATAAAAAGAATTTATAAATTAAGTTCTGTTACTATTTTTGTGAATCATACAGCAGACTTGTACTCTTGGCTAATACTTATAACTTTGTAGCCCAAAATAGCAGTCCTTTTTATAAGTTTCATCAGTGCACAAAGCACTATTTCTTGTTTCTTGAAAGGGTTCCTTGGTAAAAGGGTATAACTTAAAAATTCAAGAGTAATGAATACAAATCCTAAAGCATCAGTGTGAGCCAGCAGAAACATAAAATATCCCACTCCAGTTTATTTATTTAAATTATTATATAATACTATAGGCTGAAACAGAAACAATAAATTTATACTAAATTTAAGCAAAGATATGGGCCAAATATTTTTCCACATTGAAAATTTTCTGGGGTCAAAATTTTCCACTACATGTATGTTTGGTCATTTCAAATTTGTATGATTTATTACTGTTAAATGTCTATTGCCCAGCATTATTTTTACTGAAATGCTAGAAACAATTTGTCTGTATACTTCAAAGCTTTTAGTTTCTCTGAATCTACTTCCAAACTTCAAAAATAAGCTACTTTTTTTTCACAAATAATACAGTCCAATTATTAGTGCAGACTCTAGATATTGACATAAATATGTAATGAAATCATATTCATTTGCATAGGAAAACTTTATGATTCAAAATTTTCCAAAAACTCACAATTCAGAATACATGATCCATTTGGACTAAAGAAGATGCAGAATAATCCAAGAAAGTCAAAGCAAGAGGCTATAGATGTTCAGAGTTACGGCGATGCTAAACAAATGGTAGTTACGCCCTGTCCCCAAAGCGCTGCCAGAGTCACATGATCAAAATTTGGGCGCTTGACAGCCCACCCACACTTACAACCGCAGGGGCGCTTCAACTCCCCCCACCCATATCCCCCCTTAGCTCTGCCCTTTTGGCCATCCTGCACTCCACCACCTCTACTGGCCCTGCCACCCTGCACTCCACTGGGCCTGCCATTCCCAGCTAACCTTCGCGAGGCATGCCCAGCCTGGCCCTTCACGAGGCAGCTGCTGGCCAGGCTAGGCCTTCTTCCCAAGGCCATGCACGCCCTTGTCCACATTGCGCACAGTCCTTGCCCAATTTGAAAGCCTCACAAGGCCGCACACAATTTGGACAAGGGCACGTGCAGCCTTGGGAAGAAGGCCTAGCCAGAAGCTGCCTTACAAAGGGCCAGGCCAGGTGTGCCTTGTCAGCAGCAGAAGGAAGAAGACAGAGAAGGTCAGCTGGGGGCAGGAGGGCCGGTGGAATACAAGGCCAGCGAAGCACAGGGTGACCAAAAGGGCAGAGATGGAGGGGAGATAGGCAGATGGGGGGAACTGAAGAGGAGGCAGTACCTTACCTTACTGAGGCTTGGGACTGGGAGGGACCAAGCAGGGATTGGCTTAAATCAGGGTGAGTCCTCACCTAATGACTGGGTGGGATTCAGTTAATGACAGCAACCAGGACTGCCAGGATTGCTGTCACTAAGCAATGAGATCACGTGACATGCTTTATGACCGCATCACTTAGCAGCAGAAATTTCAGTCCCAATTACCATCATAATCCGAGGACTACCTGTATCTTTATACTTCAGGAAAATCTTTTAGGTTATCTGCCAGTATAAGAGATAATTTATTCCATATATAAGGTAACCCATAGAGTAAAACATGTCAATGAATATTTTAAAAATAAGAAGATGATCTGCTGTTTGGCTTTCCTAATTGGACACCTCAGAACAGAAACTGCAGTAATATTAAGGGAGCAGGTGGATTCTTAAATTATTCTTAAATAATTACCTTTTTAAATCATTACAGTAATGAATGAAATCAAACATAATACAGAATTCCACAAATCGCAAGAATGCACAGCTTTAAAGACATTTCCAATTTCTTTTCAACAAACATGTTTTTAGGAATGTACTCACACGAAGAACAGGAACACCAGAATTTCTTCCGTCTGCAACACTCAAAGCAACATTGCCTTGGCTGCCATGCAGATCCCTAGAGCTGCCATAGTAAAAGTTGCTAACTGGAGCATAATTGGAATTAAAGGACCTTGACAGCATGCTCTGAATAAAGAGGGGACAGATAACAGAGATTAGTGCAGCATGCATAAATCACAAGACATGTTACACACAGAGTCAGTACAGACACAGATTGCATATCATGTTATAACACCATGCAAACAAAGGATAGTCCCACTGTGAATACAAAATCTTAGTTACATGCCATGTGATTTTTCACAATATAACTGAACATGCAGTCTGACATAATCCCCACACAAATCACATTATAAGCCCATTCAAATGATAAAGATGGCCAAGGAAAATAAATCCTTAGCTGTCATATTTTAAATGTCTACATACAATTAAACTGTTAATACTTTTTTTAAGAACAGTGGTAGCACTTCCCAGTGCTTATTATGATTTTCCAATGTTTATTATTACTTTTATAAATAAAAGGCATAAAAATAACAGCAACAAATTTTAGGCAATTTTTTTGCAAATTTAGCTGTCCTGAGAAATAAACCATGTGTGTTGTAAGAAATAATAATTGTCCCTAAAATAGACCTTTCAAGGAAATCAACAAAAATGAACATAGCTTCAAATCTTAATCATTTTACACTTCTTTCCAACATGTTCTCGCCCAAGAAGGCTGATTTATTTGAAGCACATGACTCTTCCTTTTCATCAAAATCAAGACAGAAAATAGAAAATAAAAATTACAATAATAAAAGCAAAGGAACTTAGACAAGCTGGCTAAAATATTAAAACACTTCCATAAGAATTAAGAACATTCTGAAAAAACATTAAACAGTAAGGTGGAAAATGTTCTGAAATCTATTTAATAGCTGAATATTCAAGAGTCTCTCTGCTTGGTCCCAAGGAATTGCAATTAGTAAGCAATCAACAGAAGACTGTTTTCATAACCAAGAGAGGCAATTTTCCATTACTCTCCATTTTCTTCTAGAACTTGGGGCATCTCTGACACTGGAGAAGGCAAATACTGTAATATGGGATTGGCATACTAAACTGGAAGAAATGAGACATTGTACAGTAATTTCTGAAGAAATGGTAGATAGCAAACTGAGGTTGTAGATTCCTGAAGTTATTAAACAGATAATACCATTTCAAGACAGAGTGTGACTGAAGAAGGCTTTGGATACATTAGGCTTATATGAAACTCTGAAATGACCTTATCTTTGTGAAAATGCAAGAATGGTGATCAGCTTGTGGCACACACAAGCTGCCAATGTATTGAGCAAAAGATAGCAAGAAGGTAGCTTTAAAGATGGGCAGCTGAAGATCCACAGCTGCCATAGGTTCAAACAGTTTGAAAGTTGAACAGGAAAAAACAAAGTTAAGCTCTGTGGAGGAACTGGTAGTTTAATTGACCTTGAAAACCCCAAACAATGGTCCACTTCAATGTAAGCAAAAACAGCTGACAAATACACATATTAAAAAGAAAGCAAAATCAGAGACTGGAAAATTGGGTAAGTAGAAAAACAAGTTAAGGAGCAGTAAAATATCCATCCTAAAAGCAAAAACAAAATCAGAATAATGAACCCTTTTATGGGCATACTTCTGCTTGGTTTATATGAGCCATTCTCATGATACTTTGGACATCAGTGAAGAAATGCAACAAGAAATACATCATCCACATATAGAATCTTGAGAATAGAACTGTTAAAGTTATAGCTGTCACATGGTCAAGAAGATAGCTAGTGCAGAAATGGCATAAGCCAGCTTAGGCAGACACAGAGTCTTCTATGGATGTAACATCTTAGCTTTGCAGGAATACAGAACAGAAGTGGGATATCCATAAACACATAATTTGACCAAGAGATCCACCAATGAGCCCAATGTCTATGTATATCTGTTTGACAAATATGAGTCAGTGCAATGGCCATGCCTTTAACTAAGATTCTTGATGCACTGGTAAGAACTGAGGTCCTTCAGGTACTGAACAAATTATGGCAAAATGGACGGGTCCATTTTTTAAGGCCTGATAGTAACACAAAAATAGATATCCGGAACCAGTCTTTGGGACACAGTAAATGAAGGATGATTTGAAGTGTTACCATCTGGATGAATGAACTTAGGTGTTATAGAACTAAGATGGGCTGCAGATCTTCATGCTTTTTCCCCAGAAGGCAAGAGACACAGGAAGAACTGAGTTTATTAGTGTAGCTTTTAGGCTACAGTGTGGAGCATCATTAAAAGGAGAAACCTGACAGAGTTCAATGGATGGATGGATGGATGGGAGTGGTCTTTCCTTTCCAAGGCATGTAACTTACAGCGTTTTTCATCCAATGGCACTGAGTGAGATTTAATTTCAGAAAATTCATATTATGATGTTCCATAAAAGATACAAATAAAAAGAAGTTATTTTTTCTTATTTAACATGGTAGATATTTGATATAGGAGACACAGATATAAGTCAGTGCCAAATATCTTTTTGTCACTTTTAGTAAGGATGCTAATAGATCCCCAAACTGAAAAACAAAGATCTTCACAGAAAAGTAGTGTGATTATCTCCATATGTAGCACCTCTGCTATCTTCAGTAACTACTCTGAATATTGATTTCACATCTCTGATGCTGAAGCAACCAAATGGTCTCTAATTAGGTGGGTTTGGAGAGGAAAAAGAAAAGTTATTCTAAGGGAAAAGAAGAACTGGACTAGTAGTAATAGTAACAATAAAAATGAATAGCAGTGTGTGGTTAGGGTGGGCTACAATATTCATCAAAAAGCTGTGATTGGCTGCAGTAACTGATGGGAAGCTGAAGCTATGGCAATGACAGGTAAAGGAGGCATTGGTACACCTGGATCTACAGGAAGCAATGAAATAGAAACAGTAGGAAGATTACAGGGTCATAGCCACAACTTCTGAAAGCCAACAAATTGTGTAACTAAACTCTTCTTCTTCTTCTTCTTCTTCTTCTTCTTCTTCTTCTTCTTCTTCTTCTTCTT